CTCCGTTAGATGCTCACCCAGTCTCCACTCCTTCAAAAAATAATTTAAAACCCACATCTTCATAAAGCATATCAATTAAACTGTTAATAGCTCCTGATTGATTCCTCTCTTAGTACAGTTCCTGACTCAATTATCTCTCAGCCACAGGGGAGGTGTTTACTGTCTGTATAAATTCTGCAGCTGTACCTGCATAAATTCAGTCTACTCCCAGGGGGTAATACTATACTGGCTATATCTGCTGTATGCTTGGATTTACTGGCTATACTCTCTGGAGTAGAGCGCTACCCACTGGGAGATGGATCCGGTTCTTTGGTCCAGGGTGGTTGGAGGCGTCGAGACCCCAGCCAAGCTGCAGTGGCTAGGGGGCTGGAAAGTGGTAATGGTGTTCTGGCAGTAAGTAGGAAGCACGGTTGGCCGAGGTACCCGGTCGAAGTGCCAGGCGGACAATGGTGTATAACATAGCATCTGTAACTGAATGACCGCATGGAGTGTAACACGCCATCTCTAACTGAATGACAAAAAAAGAATAAAACACAATAACACATGGGGTGTAACGCATCAACTGTAACTGAATGACAATATGGGGTGTAACGCACCAACTGTAACTGAATGACAATATGGGGTGTAACGCATCAACTGTAACTGAATGACAATATGGGGTGTAACACACCAACTGTAACTGAATGACAATATGGGGTGTAACGCACTGTAATGGACCGTTTTGCACACAAGGGGTAAAAACCGTTTAGGCGATCGGCCCCCTTTCCAGAGATACAGGCACAGCTACTGCAGAACACCAAACTCCCGAACTGGATACAAAATAGCACTCCAACTCCCAAACTGGAACCTCCCAAATAGCTGCTAGCAGACGAACAGGAAAAGCAGACAATCAGCTTACACTCCTGGCAATCAGTCTCTAACAGCATACAGTGAATCCCCCCAAGAACGAGACAAGGCTCCGTGTTGAGGGTCAAGCAGTGGTCTGAGGTGCTGGCACACCCAGCCTGGTTTTTATTACAGTGTTTTCAAATACAGGACCGCCCACAGGGAGGTATAAAACAACCAATCACATCACAGTTACATCCCACATATTCCCTCCCCTTATCCTGAGAGGAAACTCAATTACACATACAGTTAAAACATACTTTCTACCCAACTTTCATAACTCTAAAACCATACATCACATTCACATAAAATTACATATTCACAATCAATCCATTCAGGGGAACAACATATTAAAAAATGGCATGAATCCGACCAGGGGTTCAAAAGTTAGTAAAAGTATCTTTTGGGCCCTGGCTGGCACATGGCTATCTGGCTCAAACAGGTTTTACAGAGCCCTCTATCCTGGAGACAATGGGGAAAAGTAATCCAATTATCCAGGGATAGAGGCAGACTCCATTGAGCACATGGTTGCAAAAAGACATAAAACACTTTAAAATACATAAAGTCACCTTTTACACATAACACACAGACATTTCACATATCCCCAGATAGCTGGGATCTGAGCGCACAAAACTACCGAATAGCACTCAGATCCTATTCACACAGTTCAATTGCCATGGAGCCGAAGTCTTTAACTACACAAATGGGCTCCATGGCATAGCTATCTGGGTTAACACATTTACATAAAGTCTGGTCCATAGTCCAAAGGCAGCAGGCGGGCAGCCAGGCTTCTCCAATGCCATGTGGCGAGATTGCTCTCGTCACATCTCTCCCCTTTTCCAAACAGACTAACAGGGTATCTGACCTCCTGCCGGTCAGTGCCCTTGTTAGTCCAGCAGCCCACCCACAAAACAGAAACAGCAGTACAGCCCACCCACAATAACTGGTTACTACACCTGGGTAGAGGAGAAACTTGTCCATGCCCAGGTGCCTCACCACAGCTGTGTGGGGGACTGGTAGGCTGCTTTGGTGGGTTGCTGAGTGGGCAGAAACCAGCGGTACTCTGCCCTGATGCCAGCACTACCACGGGAGTAGTCTGGTTGAAGCCTGGTTGCTGGAGACTGACTGTCTCCCCTTTAGACACACAGCTCTGCTGCTGGAGACCGACTGTCTCCCCTTTGGCTAAACAGCCCTGTCGCTGGGGGGCAGAACCGACCGTCCCTACCCCCCGTGCTGTACGTGCAGAGACCACGGCCCCATCTGAACAGTTGTGCGGCTTACTGTCTCCCCTCCCACTGGAGTAGGAGGAGTTTGCCGTTACTGCTGGAGAGGGAGCTGCTCTGTGCTTCATCTGTGTGTTCCCAGGACCACACCCGTTTGTGGCTGCTTTGGAGCTCGATTTCTGGGCTTTGGAATTACTACAGCAAGGGGCTCTGCCTGGGCCTAGGCAAGCATGGCCCTCGGGCCTTCCTCCCCAGCCTGGGGATGGAAGGTCAGGCTGGACAAGCTGCAGGCAGTGCTGGCTTTTGGGCAAGGTAAGGCGGATACCAGGGGCCTGTCTTGGACTGAGCATCAGGCCCTATCCCGGCAAATACGAAACCAGGTCTCCCTGTTGGAGGAACTGGCGGGGGGGATGTCTAGGAAGCTTACAGCATGGAAAAGGGAAGTGGGGGTCCCCCAGGGAGCTACGGCCCACACCAGGGCCGATATCCAGCTGCTCTCTGGGCTGCTGGCTGAGTGCCGTGAACTTGCCAGCAGTGGCCTCCACTTCCTAGAACAGTCCCCCCCGTCCCTGGAGGTGGGAGAGGGTACCGAGGAGGAGGTGGTCCCTGAGACCCCCCCTGAGGTGGCTAGTGCCAGCAAGGCCCCTCAGGCCTCCCTCACCTATGCTGAGGCTGCAAAGGGTGAGGGGGTTGAGGCTAGGGTCTTTATGGGGCTACCTTCTGACAGGCTCCGGGGTCTGCTTGTGTCTCTGAAGGCCCAGCATGCCGAGGCAGACTCGGGCCTAGCTGGGGTCCAGGCAGAGCTAAGGGAGCAGAGGGAAAAATCAAACAGGACCTCTAATTACAAAAGAGGTCCTTTGAGGGCCGCTATAGCTGAGAAAAAATTAGTGGAGCAGCATCTATCCTACACCCTGCTCCAGACTGAAAAGAAAATAGCAGACATCCAAGCCATCCAGCAACAGAGAGCCAAGGACGCTGCGAGGTCCAGGAGGCAGAGGGCTATGGAGGGCAGGAGGGACATGTCCCCAGGTGAGGAGTCCAGCAAGGACTTGGATTCCAACTCCCATCACTCACCTGGGGAGCCGTCTACCTCTGCCCTTGCTACTCCAGGGGGCGCTGCTGAGACGGAGGGGAAGGCCAGAGAGAAGGACAGTGAAGAGGAGTGGGACGGAGAGAAAGGTGAAGAGTGGCAGCTGAAAGTGCAGGACAGAGGTCGAGGGCTGATTAAGGAGTCTCTCCTAAAGTTTGGAAACAAACTTGGGGAGGACTCCGTAAAGGACAAAAAGAAGAAAAAGAAAAACATCGCCCGGCGTCAGCCTGAGACCTCTGTCAGGGGGTCTGGAGATTCCACAGAGGAGGGTGAGTGCTCAAATGCTGAGTATATGTACAATGACGATGTTCAGGCCTTGCAGAAGCCTGGGGCCAGGGATACTAACCCTGCAGGTGGCAACACCTGTATGCCCCAGAAACCTGCACAACCTGCCTCTGTGGAAGTATCTGGCCCCCCCGCCGCCCTCCATGGTGACAGGGAGACCATCCCCGCCGGTACTATGGCGTGTACCGGTGATCCCATGGAGGGGTCCTTCCCTTGCTCCCTTCCCACTCCCTCCCTTACCTGCCTTCCCTCTGACCTCCCTCTCCGTGTGGTTGCGTCCCCTGGAGTGGCTGGTACCTCTGCCTCCTGTCCTCAGGCGGCTGCTGGGCAGGATGGCACTGGATGGAGCAGTCTGGAGCAGGGTGATGGCCTTCCTTTTCCCTCTGCTCCCTTGGAGCAAGCTCGACTGCTCTCCCCTACCAGCAAGTCTCCTCCCCTGTTTGTCCCCCAGTCTGTTTCCCTGGATATGTCCAAGTTTGTCTTCCAGTCTGTTCCCCCTGCTTCCCTATGTGTTCCCCTTATGTCTGAATGTGTAACCAGTCCCCCTGTTGTTCCTGTTGTTCCTGTTGTTCCTGGTGCCGCGGGTGCCGCTGGCGCTATGGAAGACAGGACTGCAGGGGACTCCCATCATCCTCAGCCAGCAGTCCATACTGAGGAAACCGCCAGTGGAGGTAAGAAAAGTATGACTAACATTGTGTTTGACTCCACTGGTGGTTTAGGGATGGCTGAGGAGGATGGGAGTATGGATGTAACTGTAAATGTAATGATGGGACCTATTGGCCTTAGTAAAAAGGTCCACAGCCAGCCTGTTTGTATTAATGATGTTGCCCCTGCCCCTGGTGTTGTTGCCCCTGCCCCTACTATTGCCCCTGGTGTTGTTGCCCCTGCCCCTGGTGTTGTTGCCCCTGCCTCTGGTTATGTTGCCCCCGCCCCCGGTACTATTGCCCCTGCCCCTGGTACTGTTTCCCCTGCCCCTGGTTATGTTGCCCCCGCCTCAGGTTATGTTGCCCCTGCCCCTGGTTCACTGGAGTTAGTTGGTACACAGGTGGCGGGCACGAGCACGGGCACAGGCACCCTGACAAAGGGTGCCGCGGTTATAAATAGTTTAGACGCACAAGCAGGTACACGGGTTCCCCTTAGGCACTCCCAGGTTGTCACCCAGGGTTCTGGTGTGACCGAGGCCTCTGGTTCAGCGAGGGGAGTCCGTCCGAATCATTCCCAGACGGCGGGTCCCGGTGCGCCCAATGCTTGGGCATCTGGGCCACCTCGCCTCTCTGCGGACGGGCCTGCTACGCGTCCTCAGGTTTCCTTTGGGAACAGGAGGAACGTGGTACGGCTCATCTGTGGGGGTGAGACCCAGGTGCCTGACAGACGGTGGATGGTGACCCGGCTAAAGGATATGGGATTTGCGCCCGTGGACCTGTACGCGCTCATCCATGCCTCGGGCACCCGGGAGTTCGACGTCTCCTTTATGACGTCGCAGCTCCTGGATCGCTTCTGGGCTGGGTGGGAAGCGGCCAGGTCTGCACAGGGTACAAAGTGGGCAGGATTCACCGCTGTGGCCATTTCTCGCCAGGGTCTTAAGAAGGTCACTTTCCTGGTGAGAAATGAATCCATCCCCATAGCAGACATCCTTGTTTGGACTAAGAGGTTTGGGGATGTTAAATCCCCCCCTGTTAAGATCTTAGATGAGGATGGGATTTGGACAGGCGGATGGACTGTTTCAGTGTTGCTGCGGGAGATTCGAGGTGTCACACAGCATATGCCTAATAGTTTTTTCATCGGGGCTGACCGGGTATCCTGTTTTTACCCTGGTCAGCCCAGGGTATGTCACAAGTGCGGATCGTACAGGCATTACAGCAATGCCTGTACGGTCCTCAAATGCACTATGTGCGGCGCTGTGGGGCACCTCCGGGACAGCTGCAGGGAGATCCGGTGTCATCTGTGTTCAGAGATGGGTCACACGTACCGCACCTGCCCCGAAGCCCAGCACAATGTAGAGTCCATCTGGAGTCAGGAGCCGGTGGAGATGGACTCTGCTGGGTTAGGGGTTCAGGTAGCATCGTCATCTACAAGGCCCATCTCTGGCACAAGGGTTTCCCTGCCCCAGCAACAACCCATCCTCCCCTCGGTCTCTGTAACATCTCAGGACCCTGGGAAGGCCACAAGTTCACGTCCCCTCATGAAAAGTGTACGTAGAGAACGCACTACCTCCACAGCCATTATGGCTCCCCCTAGACCCCCTCCCCCTAGGCCCCCCCTCCTAAATTCTCCACGGTGAAGGTTACCCCCACTGAAAAATCCCCAGATGCACGTCCCTTAGATGCACAGTCCCTAGAGTGGAGCACGGTGAAAGGTAAGAAACCCCCCCCCTCCAAGACCTCGACGCTGCCCTCACCCCGGAAGATCGCCATACCCCCTGCGGCGAAACCCCCGAAAGGGGGAGACGCCACTTATAAGGGTGGTGTGGCACGGGCGTCATCCTCCTCTTCGGGCTTGCAGGAGGCCCCGGTGCCCGTATCTAACAGGTACGAGGCACTGTCCTCCAGCTGGGCCGACTGTGAGTACGAGGAGGAGATGGCGAACCTCCCCGAGGTGGTGGCAGGGGTTGAGGTGGGACAGGAGGTGCTTCTGAGAGACGACGGGCCACTGTATCCCGGAGTCTCAGTGAAGAGGTTCCTCGGTTCCGACACGGAGGAGGAGGGGTACCGCAGAAGGAAGGGAAAGTCTCCTTATACTTAATGCCCTTATGGCGACTTTTCCTGTACTCTCTGTGGCTACGGTGAATGTAAACAGCATTAAGTCCAGCAGGGCCCGCTTTTTGGTTTACGACCACCTCAGCCGGGCTCCGTACAATGTCATCTTGGTACAGGAGACCCGGCTGGAAACCCTCGCGGCCCTGCACGCTGCAAAGCGGGACTGGAGATGGGGCCCTCCTACTTCTCTCTAGCCACAGAGAGATATGGGGGAATCGCCATCCTATTTAAGGACGTTGATGTTAGCATCAACAGGGTTATTGAGTTGCAAAAAGGACGGTGTGTGGTTTTAGATGTCTCAATGGGCAGGCAACCTTTCAGGATAATTAATATCTATGGCCCCCAATCTAAGTGGGAGAGGAAGCGCCTGTTTATTGAGATAGAGCCTTACCTTTATACATCCCAGCAAATCCTGTTTGGCGGTGACTTTAACACCATAACTAGGCCTCAAGACAGGAGAGACGCCACTCAGAGGCTGGGGTATGACTCCTATTTTTTAAATAAGATGGTTAGTCAGGCTGGATTGGTCGATGTGTACCTTCATCACACTCCCAATCCCACGGGTGGGTACACTTATCACCGAGGTAGCTGTCAGAGTAGGATAGATAGGTTTTTCTTTAAGGAGAATTTCCCGGTGGCGGCACCCGTGCTTACACCGGTGGAGTTCTCCAACCATCACATTTTGTCTTGCGAGTTGAACGTCTATAGTACCCCACCTAAGGGTAGAGGGATCTGGCGGCTAAATTCAGACCTCCTGGTGGAACAGAGGGTTCAGCAAGCCTTCATGGAATTCTTTCACGATCAGATGACATTGGCCGACTTAGGCCAAACGAAGTCTGAGTGGTGGGAGATGGTGAAGGCCAGAACTCAACGGCTGTTTCACAATCTCGCCCGGAACATGCAGTCCTCCAGGTACAAGATGTATCTGGGCTTGCTTGGGAGGTTAGACATCCTGATCTCGCAGGGAGGTGACCCCGAGGACATTGCGGCAGTTAAAAACCTGATGAGGAGTTATCAGTATGACAGGTACGCCTCCCTTGTAAAAGAGAGGGATCATGGGTCATACCGCTCGCCCGATCCTTATCTTAGCTGCAAGCGGAAGGAAGGTACCAAGTCCATCCCTAGTTTGCGGGGCACCGACGGGACCCTAGAGGAGTCTCCTCGCGGGATTCTGAAGGTGGTCCGCGACTACTATATTGAGCTCCTCGGAAAGGGCAGCCCCCAATGTAGCGAGGAGGGAACCTCCCACGGGAGAAGGGTGGATGACTTCTTGAGCGAGCTCACGCTCCCTGAGCATAGCGACCTCTCTTTTGATGAGTTGGTCAGCAAGATCACCATAGAAGAGGTCACAGAGAGTATCCAACAGCAGAACAAGTGTAAGTCGCCAGGTCCTGATGGTCTGACGGCCGAGTTTTACCAACAGTTCTGCGACCTCTTGGCCCCTCATCTGACCGAGGTGTTTAATGAGAGCTTGGCTCAAGGATTATTGCCACCCTCGATGAGGACTTCTGCCCTGATCTTGCTGTCCAAGCCGAACGTGCTCGACACAGCGGATGTGGGGAACTGGCGCCCCATATCCCTGTTAAATGTCGACAGGAAGGTCCTGGCAAAGATTTTGATGAAACGAGTACAGGGCCTAGCGAGGCGTGTCCTATCCACCTCCCAGTACTGTTCAATCGAGGGCAGAACTGTCTTTGATGCCGTTTTCGAAGTCAGGGAAGCCCTCGAGAAGTGCAGGGACGGAGAAAGGGGGATATACCTTCTGGCACTTGATCAGTCCAAAGCTTTTGATCGAGTAGATCACCGTTATCTGTGGTCAGTCTTGCGGAAGTATGGCTTGCCGGGAAAATTCGTCAATTGGATAATCACCTTGTACAGAGGGGCCGAAAGCTTCGCTCTTGTGAACGGGTGGAGGGGCAGGACGATTAGGATCCAATCCGGGGTCAGGCAAGGCTGTCCTGTCAGCCCACTCTTGTACGTATTTGCAGTCGATCCCTTCATCCGAAGGGTCGAGGCAGGCACGTTACAGGGAGTGGCCAGGGCTCCGGAGAGGCCTTTACGGGTTGTTGCCTATGCTGATGACATCTCCATAGTGGTCTCCAATACTCGGGAGGCCACGGAGGTGGATGATTTAATCCTAGCGTATTCTGCCGCTTCAGCCTCTCGTGTGAACAGTTTTTCTGGTGCGGGAAGGAGGGGGACCAGTTCCCTCTTCCAGACGGTTTCCCGAGGGCCCAGCCTGAAATTAAGATCTTGGGGGTGGTGTTCGGACCAGGGGATCTGGCTCTCAGGAACTGGACCGAACGGCTTGCCATAGCTTCTAGCAAGGTGGAGGAGAGCCACAGGTGGAAACTGACGTTCAGAGAACGGGTGAACCTAATCAAAACCTATGTTCTGACCGTATTCGGCTACGTCAGTAACATCTTCCTTTTGCCCAGGTCCCTCCACGCTCGGATGTTTGCGCTGTTCTTCCGCATGTTGTGGGGGAACAGGCTGAACCTCATCAAAAGAGAGGTCACTTACCTGGCCAGAAAGGACGGGGGTCTGGCCATGGTCAACCCCATCGTCTTTTTAACTAACAACTTCCTGAAAAGGAACTTTGGGGCTCTCCTGAAGGATGAGCAGCCTGGCTGGGTATGTATATTCAGGGAGTGGGTCACACCTTTCCTGGTGGACTGGTTTCAGGGTGGGAGGGTGAAGAGCATGAGAGTTCGGCATTCTAGCTATCTTCCGTCTTCGGTCATCGAGGGAGTGGGAATTCTGCGCAGGTGGAACGTCACGGTGGAGGAGGTTCGGGACACTCCCAAGAAGCTTCTCGACGGGAGGGTCCTGGCCACCCACTTTGGCATTCAGCTTGCTTTGAAGGACTGCCCGCCAAGTACTCTCGCCTCGGGGTTGAAAAACATCAACTCCAGGCGCCTTCCGGAGAAATACCGAGACGTGGCGTTTCTCTCCTTCCACGGTAGACTTTACGTTCGAGGGAACTTGAAGTACAGGAACATAACGGATCGTGGTTGTCCTCGGGTGGAATGTTCCGGGGAAGTGGAGTCCATGGACCACTTCCTCCTCGAGTGCCCCTTTAACGTACAGGTCTACAAAGAGGTCTCAGCCGCCTTAGGCATCCCCTGCTTATCCCGCTGGACTTATGCGGAGTGGGCGTACGGGACGTCCAACTCAAGGGGGAGGGCTTTTGATTTGGGCACTCTTTATGTAGTCAGTTCAGTGGTTAAGTATTTCACTTGGATGGCAAGGTGTCAGGTTTCCCTTCAACGTAAAGACCTTTCCTGTCAGGTGGTGGTAGCAGACATTCTGAGGGCGGTTCGTGGGATCTATACCACCGAAAGGGCCTCTATGGATCCCACCATTTGGCAGCGTTTGTGGCGAAATCTCAAGGTCCACCCGCCTTGAACCGCTCCATGGGCGCCCTTGTCTTGGTGAAGGGAATTCCAAATCTGTCTTCACCTTTCCCCCGTAGATTTTGAACTGGTTTTTCTTTTCATGGAAGGCTGCCACCTTTAGCAGACGAGTACCTTCCTCTGCGTCTAGGTAGTGCAGTGTAGTTAGGTTATGGTTATGGTTATGCACAGGTTATTTTTGGTATTGTTTGGGTTAAGGGTGGGTTTCTGGTGTATGGACAAATTGAAAAATTTACTTTGGGTGGGAAAAAAACAAAACAAAAAAAAACAAAACAAAAAAAAAACACTGGGTTTCTTTATGGAGGAGGGATGGACTCCTTGAGGGTGGTGTACAAACTGGATTTCATGTGGGTGGTGGGTCTATGGACAAAATTTTAATTTCATGTGGGTGGTGGGTTTGGATGTGATGAACTGAGAAAAGGACTCCATTTGGGTGGTGGGTTTGGGGGATGGACGGAGGGATAGACTCCATGAGGGTGGTGGGTTTTATGAATTGAAAATGGACTCCATTTGGGTGGTGGGTTTGGGTTTAAAGTTTGGGTTTAAAGTGTAGGTGGTGGGTTGGTGTTGATGGACGGAGGGATGGACTCCATGTGGTTGGTGGGTTTTATGAACTGAGAAAAGGACTCCATGTGGGTAATGGGTTTGTTTATGTTTATGTGTGTATTTTATTTCACGCTTGGTTTATGTTTGTGTTTAGCTGGCTGTGGACTCGAGGTCAATTGGGTTCCCCCCTTGTCCCCCCCTTGTTATGTAAGAGCTCCTTCAAGAGCATTTCAGCCTTTTTTCTCCCTCCCCAAGGCTCCATGAAGTAATGGAGCCCCCCGCCTTTTAATTTATCCCCTTATGATTTAGTTCCCCCCCCCCTTTTCTGTTAATCCCTCTCCCTGTTATTCCCAGTTATTTAATTTGGTATAAGTTTACTCCCCTATTAGTGCCCCTTCCTGAGTTTTTATTTCGGTATTTATGTTTAATTTTGGGGTATTTATGTTTCATTTGGTATTATGTTTGAATTGGGTATTATTTCAGTTGATTGTTTATTATTGTTATTTTTTATTTTGTTATTCTGTTTAATTTTGGAAGCATTTTACAAAACTAAATAAAATAAAATAAATACTGTCTCCCCCTGGTACATTAAGCTGCCGCTGGGGAGAGGGGGTAACAAGCTCCTCTCCCATACATACTTCCAGCCGCGGGGGAGGGAGACCGACTGTCTCTGCTCCCAATCCAGAGTCCTGCTGCTGGGGAAAGGAGACTGGGCTCTCTATTCCTGGTAGGACACTCTGCCGCTGGAGAATGGAGACTGGGCTCCCAATTCCCTGCTGTATCTCCCGCTGGGGAATGGAGACTGGGCTCCCAATTCCCAATAACTCAGCCTGCCACTGGGGAATGGAGACCGGGCTCCCAATTCCCTGTAATTCACACTGCCGCTGGGGATCTGAGCCGACTGCCCAGCATCCCTGTAGCTCTCCCTGCCGCTGGGGATGGAGGACGCTGCTCTCTTCTCCCTGCT